TGGAGACATTGGGTAATGTATGTAAACAAGGTTAAGGCCAAGTTCATATGACTTACATACTTTATTTGAAATTTATTTATTTATTTAAAAAATTTATTTAGTTATTTTTTTTCCTGCGGATATGTCTGAGTTTATTTAATTTTTATTTTATTTTTTTATTGATTATGCCATTACATTTGTTCTATTCCCCCCCCATGCCCCTCCACCCTGCACACCCCTCCCCTATCATTCCCCCCCTTTAGTTCATGAACACGTGTCTCAAGTTCTTTAGATCCTGTATTTCCCCTACTATTCTTACCCTTCCCCCTATCCATTTTCTATCTACTGTCTATGCTACTTATTTTCTGTACCTTCTCCCCCCTTCTCCTCCTCCAACTCCCCTGTTGCTAACCCTCCATGTGATCTTCATTTCTATGGTTCACTCCTGATCTAGCTGTCCTCTTAGTTTACTTTTGTTCTAGGTGTGGTTGTTGATAACTGTGAGTTTGCTGTCCTTTCACTGTTTATCTTTTTTATCTTCTTTTTCTTAGATAAGTCCCTTTAACATTTCATATAATAAGGGCTTGGTGATGATGAACTCTTTGAACTTGACCTTATCTGAGAAGCACTTTACCTGCCCTTCTATTCTAAATGAAAATTTTGCTGGATAGAGCAATCTTGGTTGTAGGTCTTTGGATTTCATGACTCAGAATACCTCTTTCTAGCCCCTTCTTGCTTGTAAGGTCTCTTTTGAGAAATCCACTGACAGTCTGATGGGAACTTCTTTGTAAGTGACTGTCCCCTTATCTCTTGCTGCTTCTAGAATTCTCTCCTTCGTTTTAATCTTGGCTAATATAATTATGGTGTGCTTTGGTGTGTTCCTCCTTGGGTCCACCTTCTTTGGGACTCTCTGAGCTTCCTGGATTTCCTGGAAGTCTATTTCCTTTGCCAGAATGGGGAAGTTCTCTTTTATTATTTGTTCAAATAAGGTTTCCACTGGTGGCTGTTCCTCTTCCCCTTCTGGTACCCCTATAATTCGAATGTTGGAGCATTTAAAGATGTCCTGGAGGTTCCTAAGCCTCTCCTCATTTTTTAAAAATTCTTGTTTCTTCATCCTTTTCTGTTTGGTCATTTTTTCCTTCCTTCTGGTCTACTCCCTTGATTTGAGTCCCAGTCTCCTTTCCATTACTATTGGTTTCCTGTGCATTACCATTAATTTCAATTTAGTTTAGCCTTCATATGTTCCTCTAATTTGTGACTAAAGTCAACCAGTTCTGTGAGCATCCTGATCCCCAGTGTTTTGAACTGTGCATCTGATAGGTTGGCTATCTCTTTGTCACTTAGAAGTATTGGCTCTGGGGCTTTGAGCTGTTCTGCTTGAGCCATAATGTTTTGGTCTGTTTGTGCCTGTTATGTATGAGGGATGGAGGCTTAGGTGTTCACTGGGGTGGGTCAATCCAGTCGCTAGGTTGTGACTGGGGGTGGGGTCAGAGAGGGAGCAATGGCATTTGTTGGGCTCTCTCTCAGATTTTGGTCCCCTGTGCTGCTTCTCATAAGCAAATTGGGCCCTTCTGGTGCTGGTTCCTGGGTGGATGGGCTTGTGTACATTCTAGGACCCTGTGTGTCTCTCTGACAAACTCTCCTGTGAAACTGGGTGCCTCTCCCAATGCCTCAATCCCTGAAAGTTTTTCCAATTGGTGCTTTTAGGTTTTATATCTTGTTGCTGGGGCCCTGGGTTGCATGGTCTGTCTCACTGACCATTTTAAAACCTGCCTGGTTTGTCTGTATGTAAAAGTGTGTGTGGAGTCAGCCAGCAGCCATGTGCACCTCACTGGGTTTGCTTGTTTTTTTCCTGTGCCGGGGTTGCCAACCACCGCCTCTTCCTGCCTGGACCCCTCTCTGCTGGCCATGGACTCCACCCCTCTTACTGGTCTGGATGAATGGTTCCTTGTTGTCGGACTTCAGTACATTTCAATTTTCTGTCTCTTCTGGTTGTGTTTTTGTTTGTGAATATTTGTTGTCCTTAAATTTGGTTGTGTGAGGAGGTACAGTATTTCCACCTACGCCTCCATCTTGGCTGGAAGTCCTGACCTATGTATTTGATGTGTAAGACTAAGTGTCACAGTTAGAGCTGGTTTGAACTTTCCTAGTCTGAGAAGTTCTTTCTACATAATATAGTTTCTTACGTTTTGATTTTCTTTATTGGCATGTGCCATGTTCTGAATATTTGTGTCCTCCCCAAATTCATATGCTGAAATTCTAATGCCCAGTGAGATGGCATTAGGAGGCGGGGCCTTCCCTTGGGGGTGATTAGATTATGAAGGCAGAGCCCTCACGAATGGAGTAGTGCCTTTATACAAGAGGTCCTAGACAGCCCCATAAGCCCCATGTGAGAATACGGTGAGAAGTGTACAACCGGAGGAGGACCTCACGAGAACAAGACCATGCTGGCAGCCTGGTCTTAGACTTGCAGCCTCCAGAACTGTGAGGAATGTTTGCTGTTTATAAGCTACCCAGTCTGTGGTGATTTGTTATAGCAGTTCAAATGGACATGACAGCATGAATGAGAGACTTTTCTACTCTAGTCCACATCAATTTTTCCCTTTAAAAGGAATATGGAATTAGGAGTCAAAAAACCCACTACTTGCTAACTGCAACTTGGAAACAATTCCTTTTTCTTGTTCTCAACTTTTTAGTCTGTAAGATGGGAAACCATGTCAATATCAATGTCACAGAATTAGTGTGTCTATCAAATGAGATACACATAAGGAAGTGCACTTTAAGTTGTTCTTATATAAGTAGTATTATAGTTTTCATATCACATGGCCATGCAGCCTGGTCTTTTGTCTTTAGCATTCAGCCTAGTGCATGACTATATGGTCTTATATCTTTTTAGTGTATAAGTATTTTTCTTTTCTACCAGGTTATTTGGTGTTTAATGGCACAGGCTATGTATCGTGCATTTCTTGTAGCCACTTGTGCTGTAAACACTTTCAATGTCACTGGGTCAGCGAGCTTTTTTCTGGGTAAAGGTAAGAACTGTGGCTGTGCAGTGTGAGGCTTGAACGCTTGCTCTTTGCTTGATGGCAAAGTTCCCAAAGTGTGATGTGTAAAGAATCACCCAATGAGCTGGTAGAAGTGACCATTCCTTGGCTTTAGCCCAATAACTCTATGTTAGTGGATGTGAGACAGGGACCAGGAATCTGCATTTTAAATAAAATAATGTGGCTTATTTTTGTTTTTATATTGGTATAGTTTTTAAAAAGCAAAAATATCAAAAAAGAACACACTATTTGATAGTTACATATCTTGAACAAGAAGTCATGTTAAGTAATTTTTAAAGAAAAATATATTTATATCCACCATTTGGACGTACACCTTCTGGTCTTTCCATGTAAGTCTGTCGGGTACAGGTATTGATAACAATGCCAGAGACTGAATTACATCCTCACTCACACTGCAAAGATACACTGTTTGTTCCTTGATTAGGGTGTTATCCTTATTGTGACTTTTGTCTTCCCAATTGACAGTTCTCCTGGAACTTTCATTTAGTTGTACAATTTTAGCTACAGTTGTGGCTGAGCAATTCACACGACTTCTGTGAAGCTGTGGTTCATTTACAGAAGACTCTGAATCTCTTTCCCCCACCCCTTCCCCAGTCTCATAGATTAGTATGGATATATATTTTTTATCCTCGCTGAAGGACAATTTTTCATTGCTTTCTTTAGATTTCTCTTTATCAGTTAAGCTCTATCTGTTGAACTAGAAGAGAGGAGGTAGTTTAAAAGAAAAGCAGGCAGAAAATATGCAGCCAAAGGTGTTCTTGGAAAATCAGATCTGGGACTGTTGATTTAAGACATGCCCTAGAAGTTTGGTTTGGGAGCAGTGCTGGAACTGGTGCTGGCATTCAGAGCAGACGCGCTGGAAGAACTGATGCCCATGTGTGCCAGCCCTTGTGCTGGCTGCTGTGCGTGTTGCTCCAGTTGTCCCTGGTTGCCTGCTCTCATGTCCTGCACCCAGCAATGCCTGACAGATGCCTGACAGTCACGCGGTTATATTTTACCCAATAGGGTAACAGTTATACATCCATCTTGATAGCCAAATGTTTCCATTCTAGGGTCATTTTTATTTTAGAGCATTGGATGCCCTTATTTGGACATTATAGGCACAGAGCAGGGCTATTTATGAAGACATATCTGGTAGATAAAGGCTTTAGACTTAAGACATCTCTTACTAAGATTCATCTTTTGTTTTTGAATTTTTATTAAATTTATTGGGGTGACACTGGTTAATAAAATTACATAGGTCTTAAGTGTACATTCTGTAATACACCGTCTGTATGTTGCACCATGTGTTTACCACCTAACGTCAAATCCTCTTCCATCACCATATATTTGGCCTCCCTTTCCCTCTGGTAACCGCCACACTGTTGTCTTCGTCTCTGAGTTTCAGTTTTACACCCTACATATGAGTGCAGTCACAGGGTTCTTGGCTTTCTCTGTCTGACTTACTTCGCTTAACATGATATTCTCAAGGTCCATTCATGTTCTCGCAAATGGCGGTATTTCATATTTTCTTATGGCTGAGCCCTACTTGGATTTTAAAATCGGATTTTGTGTGTTACGAGAGGACTCTTCTAAGTTGTCTTTATCAAGTTTAGAGTGAGAAGTGATAAAGGTCAGCTTTATTTTCACCAACTGAGCCTTTGTGAATTCATGACTGAGGGGATGTGAAAAGTGAGGACATATTTTTTTTTCATTGCCACTAGTTGTAGTAGTCAGCCAATACATTTGTAGGGCTCTTGGAATGCTTACTTGTTGCTTGACAGATGTGCCATAGTGTTAATAATGGTAATTATATAGTAAGTGCCGTTGAGGGAAGGCTTTTCGATCTAGATATCAGACTCAAGAGGTGAGAGGTTGGTGTGTAAATAAAGGGAGAGGGGAGATAACTAACCTTAATAGAAGACTTACCCCCCCACCCCCACCAAAGACTTCAGAATGTATTAAATTAAGACTTACATTAAATCTTGAATTACTCGTTTGCCTGGATCGTTTTTCTGCCAGTAGATCTTTGACTGTGTGCTTCACTCTTACACCTTGATACACTCGTTTGCTGTAGTCTCCTGGGACTTAAGAAAATAGAATAGTAACAATCAAATGTGGATGGAGTGATTAGGTTAACCTCCGGAGGGAGGTGTTCAGAGTTGATCATTGTGATGCTATTTTCTCATTAAAGTAACCTAAGAAAAAGAAGATAAAAAAGATGCACAGTGAAAGGACAGCAAACTCACAGTTATTAACAACCACACCGAAAACAAAAACAAAGTAAGAGGACAGCTAGATCAGGAGCAGAACCATAGAAATGAAGATCTCAAGGAGGGTTAGCAACAGGGGAGTGGGAGGAGGAGAAGGGGGGAGAAGGTACAGAGAATAAGTAGCATAGATGGTAGGTAGAAAATAGATAGGGGGGAGGGTAAGAATAGTATGGGAAATATAGAATCTAAAGAACTTGAGACACATGGTCATAAACTAAAGGGGGGAATGGTGGGGGAGGGGTGTGCAGGGTGGAGGGGAATGAAGGGAGGAAATAGAAAAACTGTAATGATATAATCAATAAAATATATTAAAAAATAAAGTAATAGATGTTTTTTTATTCCTACCTGAAGATATATTTTTATTGGCTTTATAGAGAGGGACGGGGAAGAGAGAGAGACAGATAAAGAGAAACATGGATGTTAGAAAGAAACATTGATTGGTTGCCTCTCATACATGCCTCTATGGGGATCAAACCTGTAATCTGGGTATGTATCCTGACTGGGAATTGAACCCGCAACCTTTTGGTATATGGGACGATGCTCCAATCAACTGAGTGGCCAGGGCAATAGGCTTGAATTTGAAGAGGCTTCAAAAAAGGTCATTTATTTTTATCTCCTGGTCCTTAATGGAAACTCATCCACACTCTGATTAAGAAACACTACTCCATCTCCTACACAATTGTTCTAAGTGTCCCCTTCTTTGTACTCTGGTTTGTCAAGATTTACTCAAGGAAGACTTAAAATTTGTGCTTTCCTTGCATGATCATGGATTGGATACAACTGGGAATAATGCTTCTTAACACCTGATGCAAAAGTCAGATTTGCATGATTTAGGTTACAGTGTGACCGTATTCCTGCCGCATCATGTTGCTACCAGGTGTGGGTGAGCAGGTCAACTGGACTGTTTTGGGAAGATTATGTTCTTAAGGAGACAGCGATTTGTTTCTGTATGTATTTTTTTAATTTTTGAAAGTACACTGATTCAACATGAAGAGTTGCTGTTTTGAAACTAGGCCAAGGATAAGGGAAGAGTCATTCATTCATTTAACAAATACTTATTGAGCACTTACCACATGTAGTTATTGAACATATTATAGTGCTTGACAATTTACATGTATTACTTCATTTGATCCATTATGTCATTTTACAGATGAAGAAACTTAGGTTGGGGACTAAGTTATTTATTGGCTAAGGTATCATACTCAACTAATAACCAGACTTAGCAGCTACAATCCAGACATAGGTCAAGTTGTAGCTCTAACGACCTGAGAGTTTCCTACTTTTACCCTGATGAAATACAGAGATATAACAGATGATAAGAGAAAATGTCCCCCCAACATTCTGAAATTGTCAGCACTGCTTTTGGGAGAAGTAAGTTCTTTTCACAAGGATGATCAAACAAAGACAGGAGACCCTTTTTCTTTGGATTATTACAGAAAATATTTAAGCCCTGAATTAGTAGTTAGCTAGAGGGATTATAAGACATTTTCTAATTATGATACCGTTGTTCTGTAGAAGGTTGGATGGATTTGATTCACTGAGGTGTTGCTGGCTTACCAGCAATTACAGTGGCACAGACTTCAGCATCGTGTGTCTGGCAGACCCTACTAACGTTCATATGTATTAGGTATCTAACCAAACTATTATGCAATCTGGCTGAGTTTGTACGTAGGCTAGCATGTATCTGACTTAAGAGCCAAAGCTCATTACAAAGAGAGTGAGAGGAGGGAGGAAAGGACGAAACCAAACCCGAACCAGAGGCGGAGTGATGCGCTGGAAGGAAAGGCCGCTGGCCCTGCGTCTGCGCTGCACGGCTGCGTGCTAGTCACTGGCTTGGGACAGTCCTGATGGTTTGGCCTCAGTGTTGTCATCTGCAATAGGGGTATAATAACTCCATAGTTGACTTCAGAGTTTTATCATGTATGTATATGAAAATGCTCTGAAAACTACCAAATTTTATACAAAGCACCTGTACAAAATGGAGGAAAAAAAATCTAGGTTCCAAGACAATTTATTATTTAATACAGATAATGCACACATAACCTAATTTTAGCAAAACAAAGTTATTTGAATGATCCCTTGGGTCTAAATTTGACAGGAGTTGAACTATATATCTTTTAATTAAAGTAGCTTGAAGTACACCTTTCAAATCAGCCTAAAATTTAAAGCTTAATGACCTTAATGATGGATTTTCCAAAGACATCTAAGTGTTGCTCCTAGAATTATGTGTGATGTCTTACCCTTTAGAAAAGCTTAAAGCTGTATTTATTCATCAGTTATTTGTTGAATGTATTCTGTGTCAGGCATTGTGTCAGAAGTGGGGATACAAAAGAACATGCTCTCAAGTGGGAGTAGAGAAATACTTATAATGAGAAAATAATTATAATGCAAGGTGCTAAGTACAACAAGGGAAATACGCCCCGGATAGTCAGAGAAACAGACCGTGTCCGTCCTCTGTGTGTGGGTGGGAGCTGGGGAAGGCGGGGTGACACCGAGCTGAGACCAGGGTTCTGCGGAGGCGGCAAAGTGGGCAGGGACGTTCAGGCGTAGAGGGCAGCATGGGCGACGGCTGCAGGCACGGACAGAGAGGCGGGTGAGGGAGGATGTGGCAGGCAGTGCGCCTGGGGAAATAATATGAGCGGGGCTCGGTCATGAAGTTTCTTGTGTGAAGGAGTTTGGACTTCATCCTGTCCAGACGAGGTCACAGAGGCACTGGCGGCTGTTGAGCGTGGGGGTGCCGTGGTTAGATTTACGTTTTGTATAGATTTATCTGGCAGCTCTGTGAAGGATGGATTTAAAAATCCCCAAAACACGGGGAGATCAGGCAGGAAGATTCTAGAATAATTCAAGCAAGAGATAATGGGGTCTGAGTAGAGGTAGTATAGGAGAACAAGGAGCAGGTGGATTTGGAAGTTATTCATATGTGGGAGGGAAAGGAGACGGAAAATTCAAGGGTAAGTCTTAAGCTTCCTCCATGGGTTCGCTCTGAACACACAAGGTAGAAGCCATCACACTGTTGATGGTGAGGAAACCAGGAAAGAGGATGAAATCTCTTGGGGAGCATTTGAGAGGCAGAGTCACAGGATGGCACACACAGAAACAGCATGTGTCAGGCACCCTGGAATAAACGAGCCAGGCCATATCCAAGGGCTGAAAGGATCAATATCCTGGAAACTCCTAGAACACTGATTCCTGAAACTCTGGTTGTGAAGCTCTGGACTAAGTGGTCAAAGATGGAAACCTGGGGAACGTCCTTATTTGGAGGGTTGTCAGAGGATGAGAGAGTCCTGTGGAGATGAAATGGTTGAAGAAAAACCAGGAAAAACCAGGGACATAAGATATCACAGAATTCGGGGGAGGAGATTAAAAAAAAAAAAAGGAAAAAGCATGAGATGTAGCAGAATGATCCAGGAAGATAAAGACAGCAAAGCAGCCATTGTTTTCTATTGCTCTCAATTTGGTGGCTGGTGTTAGACTTGATTAATGGCAATTGTGAACATGTAGAACAGCTAGAGCCTTGTTCTGTGATACCTCTTACCTCATCTCCTAATACTCTTTCCTTTGCAGATAATGATGTCAAGGGAAGAGGTGGAGACAGGGAGGGAAACAACTTCTTGAAGTTTGGATGACACAGGGCAGCAGGACATTGGATCATAACTAGAGAGAACTACAGTGTCAAGGAGAGGTTTGCTTATGGTTTTATATCCATTTATGTGCTTATGGGTGGCAGAGATTCGAGGATATTTAAATAGGACAGATGAAGGAACTAAAGACTTAGGGAAGGGAGAAAATGATGGAATGATGTTTTGAAAAGGAAGGAAGAAATTGGGGTCAGGGGCACAAGTTGGTTCTCAACCTCTGAGGCTGAGATAATCTAGGGGGGAGGGGCAGTGGCTGGGTGGTACTCACAGTGATCAAGACCCCTTTAGTGCCCCTAGAAGCATCCTGGAGTAGGAGAATGACGCAAGTACTAAATGTCAGAACAAGGTAGAGGTCAAAGCTAGACAGATGAGCCGTAGCAAGAATGCGCACCAGTGGTCCTAGACATGTGATCTGCAGACCAGCAGCAACAACATCAGCTAGGAAAGGAGACATGCAGATTCTCAGGCCCTCCTCTAGATGTACTGAATCAGAGACGTAGGGGTGGGGGCCCAGAAATCCATGTTTTAATAAGCCCTCCTGGTAATTCTGATGAGAACCTGGGGTAAACATAGGAATAAGGACTTCAGATGAGGTTCCTCTGGAGGCAGGGCCAACTCTAACACAGGCATTCCTGGCTAAGCAAAAGGGGGAACACCTGACTGGTTGCCGGCAGGTGTGGACTCAGATCTGAGAAGGAGGAGAAGGTGGAAGTTGAAGAGGTTCAGGCTGGATCCTTTGTGTGTTTGCAGAAAGTCTTGGCTTCACTTTTTTCCCAAAGGGCTTTTTAATTGATGTTTTCAATCTGAATGATCTATTTATACTCTGTGTGTATGCCAAAAAGCTCAGAGGAAATACACCTATTCTAAATAAGTTTAACAAATAACCACACAGTCATGAATAGAGGGATAAAGTTCATGAGATGGCAAATAACCAGATCAACACTTCTGAAGTTTTGTCATAAAACAATCAGTCTTATGTACCAGTTGGTATTGCTTTGGTGCAAAGTATGGGGCTGTATGCCACAGGGGATGCAAAATAATTTTAGATTACATAACAGATGTCCTCAAAGAGATCCTATTTTAGTGAGAGAGACCAGGAATTTACATGTAAAAGAGTAGGGGAGGGAAAGGGGCATTTTTGATTGTTGATGAATGTTTTGTGGGAAAGGGTGGGACTTCAGTTGGATTTGGAAGAGTGCGGACAGGTTAGGAAGGAGGGAGAAAGGTATTTGAGACATCAGGCAGGGCATGAGCAAAGGCAGAGGCAGGAAGGAGCAAGGCTTGTGTAGAAAGGGTAAAGACTCATGTAATTGTGGTGGCTTAATCAAATAAAATACGTTATATATGGGGTAGGAACTTTGACTAGGATTAGAACTGCACATCTAAGGATCATCATTAAAACTATGGTAACTAAGGCTATGAAAATGAAGTTCTCCAAGGAAGTCTTTGTGGTAAAAGAAGAATAGAAATCCAAGCACAGAATATCAAGAAAAGGCTAGATCTTGTTCTCAGGGGGAAGCAGGGGACAGGGAAGTGGGGCTAGGGAGCCAAGGGGTGGGAGAGGTCAGAAACGTAAGTATGCAATGTCCCATCAGGGTAGTGCCAGAGAAATGAAAGAAAGGGGGAGTGCAGAGAAATAGAAATCACCAGTGACGTCAGGTGTCTGGAACCTAGTAGGCACTCAATAAATATTTGTGGAGTAAATAAAATGCTTTGGAGAAGCTGAAGGAAACGAAGGCCCAGAAAGACCACAGGTTTGGAAAGGCACAGATCTTTTTTAGAGTGTGGGAGAACAGTTTCATAAGAGGTGGCAATGAAAACCCTTCTCTGGTTGTGAGAAAGTAGGGGGAGTGGGGATAAACCATGTTCCAAAGCAGTGGTACCGAAAAGCAAATACCAACATTTTACGCAGCACTCAAGGAGAATTAAAATAGATTTTAAGCAACGGAACCTAGTACAAATTTAAACTATCATTCGAATATTCCTCATGTTTTCAAGAATTCTGAAAGTGCCTTAACTCACCCTACTTTCTTTTTTTTTTGGAGTGCCCTGATATTTAGAGTCTAAAAATGTTACCAGTATCCCTACTCCCAGACATCAGTTTCCCTGTGCTGTGTCTATTTAAAGGCTCTGCACCTGAGTAAACCAGGAGAGGCTTGGGTTTTTATTCAAATACTCTAGATACAAGCTTGCATTCAGATCAGTTGTTGAGAAAACAAAGACACATGTTTCCGGGGAAAATCCCAAATTTATTAATAAGAATCATTAGAATTGGGAAATAACTATACTGTAGTGTTGTGGTGAGGTATGGTGTAGCACGATGCAGCACTGTGTAGAACTGTGCAGCACTGTGCAGTACTGTGCAGCCCTGTGCAGCCCTGTGTAGAACTGTGCAGCACTGTGTAGAACTGTGCAGCCCTGTGCAGCACTATGCAGCCCTGTGCAGCACTGTGCAGCACCGTGCAGCACTGTGCAGCCCTGTGCAGCCCTGTGCAGCACTGTGAAGAACTGCGTAGCCCTGTGCAGCACTGTGCAGCCTTGTGCAGCCCTGTGCAGCCCTGTGCAGCCCTGTGCAGCCCGGTGCAGCCCTGTGCAGCACTGTGTAGCCCTGTGCAGCCCTGTGTAGAACTATGCAGCCCTGTGCAGCACTATGCAGCCCTGTGCAGCACTGTGCAGCCCTGTGTAGCCCTGTGCAGCACTGTGCAGCCCTGTGCAGAACTGTGCAGCCCTGTGCAGCCCTGTGCAGCACTGTGTAGCCCTGTGCAGCACTGTGTAGAACTATGCAGCCCTGTGCAGCACTATGCAGCCCTGTGCAGCCCTGTGCAGCACTGTGCAGCACTGTGTAGCCCTGTGCAGCACTGTGAAGAACTGCGTAGCCCTGTGCAGCACTGTGCAGCCCTGTGCAGCACTGTGCAGCCCTGTGTAGCCCTGTGCAGCACTGTGCAGCCCTGTGCAGAACTGTGCAGCCCTGTGCAGCCCTGTGCAGCACTGTGTAGCCCTGTGCAGCACTGTGTAGAACTATGCAGCCCTGTGCAGCACTGTGCAGCCCTGTGCAGCCCTGTGCAGCACTGTGCAGCCCTGTGCAGCCCTGTGCAGCACTGTGCAGCCCTGTGCAGCACTGTGTAGAACTGCGTAGCCCTGTGCAGCACTGTGCAGCCCTGCGCAACACTGTGCAGCCCTGTGTAGCACTGTGTAGCATTGCATAACAAGGCATATGCAACAGGTCATCTCCATCACATCCTCTCCCTGTTCCTGTTTACTTTGCTGAAGAATTTGGCCCCTAGTAAATTTAATGGTGCTTTTACTTTAATATTGTTTTGAAAATTAAACATTTCCTGCATTAAGTCAGATTCATATATTTTGAAATTGAATATTTAAAAATGTGGGTAATTTTTAAACTGTTTTTAGTTATTAAATATCAAATACATTTATGGTATTTAAGCATATTCTTATTTTATTATTTTTATGACATTCTCTGAACTACATTTCCTTGCTTTAAAATTTTTAGAGTATCAAAGAAGGTTCTTGTTAAATAGGTAAGGGAATGAAGAGAGAGTTCAAACCAAAACAAAGCAGAAGAATAAAACAAGTTTTGGCCAAGATGGGGGTGAAGGTAGAAACCCTTCACTTTCTCAAACAACCAAAAGGAGAAAAAAACCACTCTAAAATCAATAAATAACCAGAAGGGCCAGAAAATCAAATTGTATGGAACTCTGACAACCACAGAATTAAAGAAAAAATGAACCAGAACAACTAGACTGGTAAGGTGGTGGACAAAGAGAAACCTCAGTGAGGCAGGAGACCATGGGGGCAGGACTGGGTGAGGTCAGGCAGCAGGCTGCAAGGGAGGGGCTGACTTAAGGGGAAACGGAGACTCAGAGCTGACTGTGGACTACCGCTGGGGTTGCCGCGGTGGGAGAAACTGCCATTCTCAGAGGAGGGTTCATTGAAAAGGGCACTAGAGATGAGCAGGGGAGCTGCATCGTTCGTTCCCTCTCTGGCCCCTCCCCCACAGGCAGTGCTGCAGCACAGCAAGAGGGTGTGT